TATGCCGAGACGCCGGTAACCACAGCCACTCGGTCTTGGACGGGTTGAGCCTGAGTCTGTTCCTCCCCATCCAGACTCTCACGGCCTCCAGACACCGGGTCATCACGTCAAGGGCATCGTTGGGGTCGCCCGGGGTGGATATGTACAGCTGAGTGTCGTCAGCGTACTGATGGAAATCCACCCCAAAGCCACGAATGATAGGATATTCCCTTAGATCAGCGGTTCTCAACCTATGGGTCGCGACCCCATTTGGGGTCGATCGACCATTTCACGGGGGTCGCCAAGCAAGGCTGTCCGCCATTTTGTTTCCCCTTTTCCGGCGGGTGCCTTACCTCCCTTGAGCTGGGCCAGCTGGTGGTCGGCCTGCTCCGTCTCTGCCGCTTGCCAGCTACACCTTGGCTGGCGCAGGGGGCGGAACCACGCATGCGTGGCACTCCCGGGCAGGGAAAGTCCTCGACTTACGACCGGTTGGGTAGTCCTCGACTTACGACCGGTTTAGTCCTCGACTTACGACCGGTTTAGTCCTCGACTTACGACCGGTTGGGGGTCGTGGCATTAAAAAGGTTGAGAACCACTGCCTTAGATAGATCAAAGCCATTATCTATATTGCCTGGGTTAATCAACAAATCAAACTTTTTCCTGATAATTAATTTTCATTTCCCTTTTAAGTCTAATTTTTCAATATTAAACAAATCAAATCCTTATTTTCCACTAATTTCCGACTGTTTTGAATCTAATAACCAAAATTCCCCTTATCTCAACATCTCCTTTTAACCCTCTAATTGACAATATAAAATCCCCTCTTAGGAGAACATTTTGTACTAATTTGGACAGGTGAAGGTGCAGGACACGCCACACGCTTCCTAGGCCTGGTAGAGTTGGGGTGAGGGGTCTCCCCCAAATTTGCAGAGTCACTCCAATCTCATTGCCATAATATATTGAATTTTGAATGCCGGAATAGAAATACAGCTTCCTTTGACTTAGCGTGGACCCTCCTATTGTGGGATCAAAGGAAGGATCCCCCAAACCAGCACAGGCAGTCCTCAACTTACAGCAGTTCATATTTAGTGACCGTTTGAAGCTGTAATGGTACTGAAAGACGTGACTTATGACTGTTTTTCACGCTTAATGACCATTGCAAAATTCTGATGCTTGCAACTGACTCCTGTTTATGACGGTTGCAGTATCCCGGGGTTCGTGTGATCCCCTTTAGTGACCTTCTGACAAACAAAGTCAATGGGGAAGTCTGATTCATTTAACGACCGTGTTCCTAGCTTAACCAGTGCAGGGATTTAACTCGGCAAAAACAGATAGTAAAACGGAGCAAAATTCAACCACTGTCTTGCTTAGCAGCAGAAATTTGGGGCTCGGTCGTGGTCGTAAGTTGAGGACTGCTTGTGTTTTCTGAGTTTCTGGGGTTCTTTGGTTTGGGCCCCCTGGGACCTCTCCCCCTGAACCCCAGCCTGATTCGGGGATCAAAGGGTGAATTCTTCTTTTCTTTCAGATCACTGACCAGTCGTGGCTGCCCAAGGGAGTGAAGGTCCCTATCCTGCAGGTTCCTTTCAAGGTGAAGGGCAAGTTCCATTTTCTGCCCCCAGCAGAGGTAAAGGTGGTGGGAAGTTACCTGCTGGGCACCTGTATCAAGCCGGAAGTGAACGTGGACGTTGCAGTGACCATGCCCAAAGTGAGTGGGCCCGGGCAGAAATGGAGGCTCCTTTTTAATTTTATTTTGCGAACATAACTCCTTCCTCCTCCTATTTTCCCCATCACAACAACCCTGTGAGGTGGGTTAGGTTGAGAGAGAGAGAGAGAGACTGGCCCAAAGTTACCCAGCCCGCCTATATGTCTACATTGGGACTAGAACTCACCATCTCCTGGTGATTGGCCCAAAGTCACCCAGCTACCTTTGATGCCTAAGACAGTGCTAGAACTCACCATCTCCTGGTGATTGGCCCAAAGTCACCCAGCTGCCTTTGATGCCTAAGACAGTGCTAGAACTCACCATCTCCTGGTGATTGGCCCAAAGTCACCCAGCTGCCTTTGATGCCTAAGACAGTGCTAGAACTCACCATCTCCTGGTGATTGGCCCAAAGTCACCCAGCTTCCTTTGATGCCTAAGACAGTGCTAGAACTCACCATCTCCTGGTGATTGGCCCAAAGTCACCCAGC